ATCTAGAGGTTTCTTGATCATGGGATGCGAAACAACTATAATTTTGCTTCGTGTTCATCACTTCATTGAGATGAATATCTATCTTTCTAGTGGGTCATGGAACTTGCTTCTATATTGTGGGCAAGAACAATATCACCTAGTTCCAGTATCACTACAAATAAGATGCAAGTTACATTTGTCAGTGTGGCTTTTGTTCCTAGCTGATCTGGCCGTGAAGCTTGTCAGTGACAGTATTAGAGAAGCGCTAAAAACAACTAATATTCTGATCCATGATCTATTGAATGTTGATATGTCAATATTAATAGCACGTCACGTCAGGTTAGTCAGCTTTTATTTTCTCATGATAACTGGCTGCCATCTAATTTTGATGTATTAAATAATTTTTTTAACCCATTTAATGGTGAAGAACTTGCAATAGTGTTTCATATTATGATATATAGATCACACTGAGTTGTTGCCTATGACCATTGACCTTGTCAACATGGCAAGACATAGGTTAATATGTTAAAATGTTTAAATCCATTGAATACGTTTTGGGTTTTGGTGTCTTACTTTCATTGCTGATTCCTTTTTACCCATTTTATTTTTTTTAACGAAAGGGAGTAAGAAAATATGTTTGCTTAACTTTGCACTTGTAAAATAGATATCTGACATTCACCTGTCATACCTGTAAACAGGAGCAACTTCCTTCCTCTTCACTGAATACCAGTATGTTGGAGTCTTCATGGCCGTTTTTGCAGTCTTGATCTTCCTCTTTCTGGGCTCTGTGGAAGGCTTCAGCACAAAAAGCCAGCCATGCACCTATAGCAAGGATAAGTACTGCAAACCGGCACTTGCAAATGCTCTCTTTAGTACTGCATCCTTTTTGCTTGGTGCTGTCACTTCTGTGGTATCTGGTTTTCTTGGGATGAAAATTGCAACATATGCCAATGCAAGAACAACTTTAGAAGCAAGGAAGGGTGTTGGAAAAGCTTTTATTACCGCATTCAGGTCTGGAGCAGTTATGGGCTTTTTGCTTGCATCAAATGGCCTTCTGGTGCTCTACATTGCAATTAACCTATTCAAATTGTATTATGGTGATGACTGGGAAGGTCTATTTGAAGCCATAACCGGTTATGGTCTTGGAGGCTCCTCCATGGCTCTTTTTGGAAGAGTAGGTGGAGGTATTTACACAAAAGCGGCTGATGTTGGTGCTGATCTGGTTGGTAAGGTCGAGAGGAACATTCCTGAAGACGACCCTCGAAATCCAGCTGTAAGTTTTTAGTGTGTTATTCGAAAAGTTCTTATACCTTTCTCGGCTTTTTGGCTAAGATCAAGTGTAGTATCTTTTCTTATCAGTTTAATATCTGAAAAGTTCTTTTTATCAGTAACTTCCTTTAGTGTTGTACAACTGGTAGTTGTTTGAACAATGCAGAATATCTATTATTACTATATTTTGTTAATTTTGTGTCTTCTCTTTCATTTCTATTTAATTCTCAGCATTATCTCACAGATAACTAGATGTCATATTCAGTTTGTGCTGGTAAGCCTAAGGTATTAAACACTTAATTCTTTTGTCCAATTAAGCTTCTGGATATGTGTTACAGGTGATAGCTGATAATGTTGGAGATAATGTCGGAGATATTGCTGGGATGGGGTCTGATCTTTTTGGCTCATATGCTGAGTCCTCATGTGCTGCCCTGGTTGTGGCTTCTATTTCTTCCTTCGGAATCAACCATGACCTTACTGCAATGTGCTACCCCCTGCTCATTAGCTCCATGGGTATCATTGTTTGCTTGATAACTACACTTTTTGCTACTGAGTTTTTTGAAATAAAGGCAGTGCAAGAGATTGAACCTACACTTAAGAAGCAGCTCATAATCTCCACTGCTCTTATGACCATTGGTATTGGAACTGTTAGTTGGATAGCTCTTCCGAGTTCCTTCACAATCTTCAATTTTGGTGAGCAGAAGCAAGTGAAGAATTGGTAACTAAATATACACTTATTTGCTTAATAGATTAGGGTCTTAAGCAGCAATTTACACCCTTTTTTAACTGCTAGGGAGCTGTTCTTCTGTGTTGCAATTGGATTATGGGCTGGCCTGGTTATTGGGTTTGTCACCGAGTACTATACGAGCAATGCATACAGGTTAGAAACTCGTTTTCTATAAATTTATCCAAGATTGTGTGTGGTTGTAATTAAGAGAGTTTTCTTCTTACAACTTTTTTGCAGCCCTGTGCAAGATGTCGCTGACTCATGCCGAACTGGTGCTGCAACTAATGTCATCTTTGGGCTTGCTTTGGGATACAAATCTGTCATCATCCCAATTTTTGCTATTGCCGTCAGCATATTTGTTAGTTTTAGTCTTGCTGCCATGTATGGCATTGCGGTTGCTGCCCTTGGCATGTTGAGCACCATTGCAACTGGGCTGGCTATTGATGCCTATGGTCCGATCAGTGATAATGCTGGAGGTATTGCTGAGATGGCTGGCATGAGCCACAGGATTCGTGAGAGAACTGATGCATTGGATGCTGCAGGCAATACTACTGCTGCCATCGGAAAGGTGTGATTAGCTTTAAACAAAAATCTTTGTTGTTCTATTATCACTAATCTATTTAAACATGACTGGCTAACTTACTTTATGGTGGTGATGAGCATAGCTGCGAAGTCATCATTCACTTGGCAATTGCATACTTTGATTAAACATGTTGTGAAATGATGCTTACCTGGTTTATTCAGAGGCTTCTTTGAAAACCAATCTGATGCTGTATTTGGCAATCTTGCCACAAATTGTTCGTCCCTCCGTATTTGTAATTTTTCTTATATTAGTTGATGTACTTGAAATTTGTGGTTATATTGCTTGCTCTATTTTAGGGTTTTGCCATTGGTTCTGCTGCTTTGGTGTCGCTTGCACTCTTCGGTGCCTTTGTGAGTAGGGCGGCAATCTCCACCGTGGATGTTCTCACACCAAAAGTTTTCATTGGGTTAATTGTTGGTGCCATGCTGCCTTACTGGTTCTCAGCCATGACCATGAAGAGTGTTGGTAGTGCAGCTCTGAAGATGGTAGAAGAAGTCCGCAGACAGTTCAACAGCATTCCTGGGATTATGGAGGGTAATGCTAAACCTGATTATGCCACCTGTGTTAAGATCTCCACTGATGCCTCAATCAGGGAGATGATTCCTCCTGGTGCTCTGGTGATGCTCACACCTCTAATTGTTGGAACCTTGTTTGGTGTGGAGACTCTGGCTGGGGTTCTTGCTGGTGCCCTTGTTTCTGGAGTTCAGGTATGTAGAATCAGCTAAGCTTATATGAACTAGAAAATTTGTGTACCTCTTATTGGTGATTATTCTTTGTGCTAAACAGATTGCCATATCTGCATCAAACACTGGTGGTGCATGGGATAATGCAAAGAAGTATATTGAGGTTCTTCCACCCTAAACATTTCATGTTGCATTTTCTAGCTTTCCCTGACTCTCATACTGGTTGGTATATACGAGGACATGTATATGAATGATACAATATTTTTTTACTTCAAGCCATTTAGGATGATGATAATGTTCAAAGATCATGCGCCTTCAGCCTTCTCCACTTTAAACTTTGTTCCCACCTGTAAGCAACCATTACTAATGTCATGTCGGATTGTTCAGGCTGGTGCATCGGAGCATGCTAGGGTGCTCGGCCCTAAAGGATCAGATGCCCATAAGGCTGCTGTGATAGGCGACACCATCGGGGATCCTCTGAAGGACACATCTGGGCCATCACTTAACATCCTCATCAAGCTGATGGCAGTGGAATCTCTAGTTTTCGCACCATTCTTCGCTGCTCATGGTGGTCTGCTGTTCAAGATGTTCTAAGGCAGGCAGGAGAACAAGGATAAGAGGAGTTTGCAGCTTCTTCAAGAACACACTCCTCGGCCACCACCAAGTTCTGCTATTGGTGGTATCAACTTATGCTTACCATTTTTGCCTTCTTTATCATACATGGGTTTTGTCTTACTGTGATATCATCTAGGTCAGCACCTGGATGTGCCAATTATGGTCTGTGGCCGACCAAAATTTTCTTGTACTAGATAGATGATGTTTTGATAGCACGGTGATGACACTAAGTATTTTCGATATAGTTAGCAGTAGTTTACCAAACATATATGCTCTTCTCGTCCTATACGATGCATGATGCAGTCAAGAGTTGGGTGCTGAATGAAAGTGGTAGTTACTGAGGCTTCATCATGAAAGCCTTTAATGATTTACTTCAATATAGATAGTGGAGGCAAACCAAATTTTGTGTGAGGATGGATTATGGATATTTTTGAGGCAAATTTAGCTGTAATTTGTTAGGATAATTAAAGACACTGATGCATGAGAGTATTACATCGGTGCTAAACGTGATACCTACTAACTCGATTACCTTATGTTCCTTGTTTCGAGTTCTTCCCTGTTAATGGATGTAGATACGGTGGTGATGTATAAGAAGGTAAAGTTAGGTATCATGTTAAACATTGATGTGGTGATGGTGTATTAGGTTCTTCACTTATCAAAGGTTAAAGATTCAAAACATCATCTCAAATATTTTAGAAGGTATTAGCTAAACTAATTGGTTAACATTTTTTTTACAGTTTATTGTAATATTCTAGACTCAAATCTCGCTTCCAATATTTATTCTTTGTAAAAAAAATATAAAGATATTTTCGGGTCAAACCAAATCTTTGTTACTTACTCTAATTTTTTAAAATAAATAAATAAATACATTAAAGTTAAAAATAGGTAAAATAAATAAATAAAGAACAAAACATTATTTACACTAAACCTAATAATAATAATAATAAAATTCTTTGTCATCACTACTTTTCCATACACTTAAGTTTCAAATAATCTTAGATTAATGAGCTCGACCTAATTTTAAGTTTAAGAGAGATGAAAATTACAATGAGGCAAGGCTGCTGCAAATGTTTTCATGCCATTGCCTCCCTGTTAGAGATTGCAACATATCGGCGGCATTCAATTCATTTCAAAGACAACATTCTCCCAACAAATAAGCATATCTAATTCTACCATGTAATATTTCTTTTACAGCATACATAAACAACGCGTATAAAAAAAAATTAATAGGATTACATGCTATTTTGTAGGATTTAGCCAACTACAACTCCATGAGATTACATGCCCTGACTGCAAATGCAGGTGAAAAATAATAGGACTGACTCATTTAAAAGTTTGAAACGGGTCATTACTGACTGTTAAGAACTGCCTACCTTAGCCACTCAAGAGAGAGAGAGAGAGAGAGAGAGAATGAGAACAAAAAGGTCTAATAATGTGCTCGCAATAATTTGCATCACCTCTGAGGTTGATCTGAGCTAGAGGGTCCAGCGGTGGTGGGCGGCGCGGACAAGCTGCTTGCCGACCCATTCTCAGCAGGTGGATTAACACCCCATTTGCCTTCAGATTCTAGTGGCTTTACCACATGGACACCACCATCAGTCAAACCAAGGGCAAATTGGTTTGGCTCTGATGGATGTGCAGCAATCACGAGCGGATGTACATTTGTGCTGTCAAAACAAGCAGACAGTAATCAATCATGTGCAGGTAAAACTGCAGACTGTTTTAAGCTGAGAAAGAAAACAACTATGACTCTTCTTAGCTACATTCACAAGGCGAGAAGCACCATCAGCAACTAAACTAAAACCATAACCATAATCATCAAAACATGTAGTATGGATCTTTATTGTGCCTTTTTCTTTTTGGAGGAATGGAGCCTAAAAGCATGCAAAAACATGGGTGACAAAATACGGCATGCTGCATATATATATATATATATATATGATCTTATTGCATCATTTTATGTGATGAATAACCAGGCTACAGTTGCAAAGCAAGTTAGTGCACAGACTTGTATCCATTATATATCAACTCAGAGAAAAGTGCAAAAAAACACTAGACTACATGAATTGATTCTTCGTCGTACCTGACACTGGCAGGGAGATATGCAGCCGGAAGGATCCGACAACGCAACTTGAGGTTTGCAGCATTAAATATACATACAGTGGCATCTAAGAAACTAGCATATATCGACTGACTGTCACAAGAGAATGTTGCATGTGATATGGGCGCAGAACCTTCACGAGGAGACCACTGAAAGACAAAAAAGGACTATTGTTATGAGGATTAACATTGCATAACCTATATGCTCCAACATTTACAAGCTGACATGAATACCTGCTTGACACATTCTAGTTTAGTAGTTTCATATATAGCAATCTGGGTCTCATGCACAGCTAGGAAGTGTATTTGATCTTGATCGAACTGAACACGTGTGTCTGAGATGGTTGATGGAGTGCGAGCAGATTGGATCTGCAGAAATCTGCTTCTCTGTTTCTCCCACCCCTCAGTTCCCCAAACACACAACTGTAGCAAAAGAAAGAAGGAAAGCGGATGTACACATAAAGAGGTTAGCCTGTGATTAAAGAACCATATGTGAGCTCATTATATGGTACATGTCCCATATCCCCCTCAAAAATAAAGCATCAGTGAATAACCTGAGCATCAGCTCCAGATGAGACCAGCACATGTAAGGCATTCGAAAAGGCAAGACCAGTAATTCTCTTCGAGTGGCCTCTAAGTTTTCTCTTGACCTGCATAAGCATATCTTGTAAACAACATTCTTTCTTCACACAAGTCACATGTTGCTTTAATAGCAAAGTACCTCATCAACTCGAACATTATATATCTGAATTGTAGAGTCATCCATTCCTATAGCAATTATATTGTTGTCTAGTGGATGAAATGCGAGAAAAGTTGCTGTAGGTGGTGGTGGCATGAATGTTGTCATAGTCTGTTATTTAAAACAAAATGGTCAATATTTAAGCAAGAACAAAGCAGTAATGCATGATGTAAACTTTATGTCTGACCTTAAAAGTCATCATGTTGAATAGAGATATTTTCCCTCCTGATGCTGACACGACGTATGAATCATTCTTTGACAATGCAAAGCAGTGGACAACTTCATCAGGATTTGTGTCAGTAATTTCATTAGTCATCAATATGCCACTTGGTGGTTGCCATAATTGAGGGGCAACACTTGCCGTTGCCTACAAAATGAAGCATTCCCTTTGTGAGAAGTATCGGCAGAAATTTGGATTTATGCTAATTGAAGAAGGATGGTGTTTTATGGAGGCATTTATTGTTTCTTTTACCTTTCCACTTGAATTGCGTTCATTACGAGGCCACTTCCAGAGTAGGTGAATTGCGTTTGATGCTAAAGCCAAAATGGCAGCACCAGAATTGGTGTAGATCAGTCTCGAAATCTGTAACAAAACAGGGCCTTGAAAAACAATACTTTTCTTGCATGACAAGTAAGATAAATGCAACTTTAGGATCCAATGGCAAAAAGAAGTCAAAACGATGATGTTCCAAAATCATTAGAACTTTGATGCCACATGGAAATCCTATTCCAAGTGCATAACCAACAACGTCTTTTAATTCCTAAATGAATGACCAACTTATCTCACTAGTAGATTGGCTAATGATTCTTAGATCTAGATTAAGGACTTCAGGTACAATCATCAAAGGGAACATACAGTAGATAGAAGCAAGGACTTAAAAATCTTAAAAACCAAGCACGTACTTGTCCCTTCTGACTAGTAGAATAGACTCTGGTATATCACTAAAAACTTAATGAAGCATTCTTGCCAAAAAGAAATTAATGAAGCATTAACGCAAGTGTCCGTATATCTCAACATGGTACATAAAATATAATGCATACCTGTACATGATCAAACTGTTAACAGTATGGTTGGTACATTTTTTATATGCACCATGAGATTCAATCAATGGCAGAAGACATTTCTTGATAAACTACTAGAACATTCTCCAAGCAAAGCTAGATTTAATTGGTCACATGAAGAAAAAGGAACAAAGAAAATGTTTTACGCCTAATATATAAGCCATGAGCGCTTGAGCCTAGAAGCATCTAGTATAATCTAAAATTCTAAATAAAGTATTTGTAGCATCCAACCATCTCAGAATTATGACAATAGGTCTACATTCGAAGATCATCAATTTTTGAAAGCTCATCAAGCACATCAAGAAACCACAAAGGTCACTTTTTAATGGACCACCTAGATCTCTGTATTGTTTACCAAAAGCAACTCTCGGATCTCAAACAACAATCATGAGATCTGTGGCAATAGATAAATTCAAGATACCAAAAATAGTTAGGTTAAAGTTCAGACAAAGTTTAGTGACCTATTGTCACGGACAAACTTTGAAACAGGGTGTTTGATGTAATGCTTATGTATGTCCGTGTCTGTTGGCATGTCCATGCCTTGTACAGTGTGTAGAGGGGCAGCCGAAGGCTTATAAGTCCCATTTTAGTTGGGTTGGTGGCCTCTTTAGGCTTGTAAATAAAGGTTGTGTCATGTAGACACGTGCGAGAGCTTTTCGGTCTGTAATGGACCATTTTACCCTTTGTTGTGCCACTGTTCAGAGCTTGTAAAGTCTGTTTGTAATTTGCATTGTCTATGAAGTGTTTTTCGGACATGTTTGCTTGTGGATCCCGTTTGAGGCACTCTCTCTAACCCGTTCTCTCTTTTGGTGGTCCTAAGGGACAATGGGAGGCTTCGGGGAGGCTGACCTTTGCGGACGGACACGCAAGGGTGCCGCACGCCTTAGGCAAAACCAGCTAAGGTCGTGACACTATGGTCACATCACATGGACCAAATAATATTTCTTATTAGCTTATCTTACAAGACTAATAAGGTATTCCTTCATGCTTACTTTGTTTTAGCCTCAAAATCATCCTCCAGTACAAATGTACTTTACTTTTTTCTAAAGTCAGTATTCAGTTGAATATTGTATCACATTCGATTATTCTTTGATTTAAGAAAATAAGCAACCACGATGGCTTGTTACAGGTTTATATATTACTTTTCATCTATGTTTAAGAAGCATAGAAACCACTCATATTCTTAGTTCATTTGCTTTTATGATATGCCTTGTGCAATTAGTGAAGGCAAAGGATCAGAAGCTAACAAGGATGTTATAGAATCTATCTACTAAAGTGGAATAAGGATCACAGTTAATGAATTTCATGTTGGATAACCTTAACAAAGAAGGATTGTTGTAAAGTCAACAGATTGTGATAACAATTTGTTATCACAATTTGTTGAGACGACAGCTTTACTTCTAAATTCTGGTAAAATCTGGAGGAAAGTTATGCACATGGTTTGCTTTCCCAAAAGCTATCTCCGATGGATGTAAAATCTGAAAGGAATGCTCATACCTTATAAATTGAACTGCACGCCATAACCTGACATCTATTTGCCTAGCAACACAACCTCAGCATGAAGCAGTTCAAGCCCAAATCACCATCAATGAAAATAATACATTGAAAAACATATCTACATAAATTAATGGAGAAATCGTTTAACTGATTGATCCAAAGAACAAATGCAGTCAAATTCCAAGCATCTTTTCAGAGGTCAATAATGCACGTATTATTGAATGATTCAGTACTAAGATTAGAATCGTCTTCATCATATTGTTACTAAAGCAAGTAAGACGCATTTCAAGTTCAACAAAGACAACCATAGAGCAGTAAATTCTTACAACAAACGTAATGTAGGTTGCCATACAGATATGCATCTATGGACCTTATATATGACAGTGATGGTACATACTTTTTTCCCTGATAAATGCACAAAGGTCTTGTCTCAATAGAATGCAAAGTTGTGGAACACTCCAAGAAACAAAAAGGATGAGATGCACTGTGAGCAAGTTTAGAAAAGGTTCTTGAATTGACAATGCATATCAATCACAAGTTCCCATATGGATAAATGCCAAATAAAATTTTCAGTAAAATTTTGACTGCAGAGAACTAACCTTGCTTGTTCTAAGATTATCCATAAGCCTTAAAGACCGACATTGAGTTGGTTCATTGATTTCTGTAAGCTTCCAGATCTTTGATTTGTCCATCGATTCATCAGTAATTCTAGGTTTTACATCCACCAAGTTTCTGCCATCTCCATTCTACCAAAATTGAATACAAAGTTAGCACAATAATAGTCTATAGAAGTTCCTGAATTCAAAATGGATTGCAATACAGCAGGGTTCTGAGATTAAAATGATAATTTTGAATAAAGTTGTGTATGAAAGAATAGTTCACAAACCATTCCAGATATTGGCATAGATGGAGCAGTTCTATCAGTTATTCCAGAGGTAGTTGCAACAGCAGCAGCAGACAATGGGCTCATCATAGGCTGTATCAGATATCAAAGATAATGGCATGACATTCTCACCTTGTCAAAAACAAGTAGTTGGCCAGAAAAGCCTACCTTTGTTATAGTCTCTGAAACAGTCCTAGACGCATCAAAAGAACGATTTTCAAGTGTGCGCAACAGACGAATTCCATCAGCATTTGCCAAAATTTTAATTCCATTATCATGTGTAGAAACAGCTAATAATGTTCCTTCCTTGTTAAACCGTATCCTTGGGCTTGCCTGAAGTTAAAAGTTGAAGATATATAAACAGGGACTTTATTTAAAAATATTTATTTATGAGGATAGTAAAAGGAGAACTGACTGGAAGGCCACCATCAGCATCAATGGTTGTTAATAAATTAGTATTATCCATATCCCAGAACTTGATTAAAAACTCGTCTCCAGCAGCCAAAAACCGGTTCCGTGTGGTGTCAAATTGCACAACACCCAAAGAACGTTTTCGAAATCCTTGGTATGTTCTCTTCACAGCTCCTTCAGTTTCATTCCATTCCACTATGAATGTTTCCCCTTCTTTACTAGTCCCACATGAAAACAGCCTACAGAAAATGAGAGGAAACATTCATTGAAAAATGCAGAACCACTGTATATTTATTCTAAATTTTCATAAAAACAGGCAATAGCAGCGGAAATATACCTCGAACCATCAGCACTATAGGCCATTGTAGTACACCAATGTCCTGGGGCATCATAATCCACCCTGGATCCCAGATTGTCATACAACCATGCCTTTATTTTTCCATCTAGTGCGGTTGAAAAGATGAACTGTATGACCAACAAAGGTAAAAGGTAAAAAGAATTAAATTGAACACAAAAACTCATCCAAAAGAAGAATACCTAGTTGTATCAATAACTTACTTAAAAGACTAAATGCGTAGATTACCTGAATGTTCTCCTTGTGATGAGGGCAAACAGAATACACAGGTGCCCCATGCCCTTCAAAGGTATACTGTTTTGTGCCGCTAGTTGCATCCCACACCTAACGTAACACATAATTAGATTAAAATGTCAAGCAAGCAACCAAGCACATATACTTAGAGTCTAAAGTTCTATCGTTCTTCAGGACAAACCTTAATTGTCTTGTCATCTCCACAAGTTATAAAAGAAAGCTGCTTACTGGGATGAGCAAATGCAATATCATTAACACCGCCAACATGAGCATCAATCTGCGGATTGAATGTTCAAAGAAGCCATCAATAAGAATAAACAGAGAAAGTAGTGCATTTAAAGATGAATCCAGATTTCCAAACCTCCAAATGCTGCCTGATATCATCACTACCATGATAAGAGTATATTTGGACAATGTGCCTCGAATAAGCAACACCTACGCAATGGTTAAGGAGTAATTAGGGAATACTAATGACAACTCCCTAACAGTCCCTTTTTATCTGCAGAATATTCATATACAAAAAACCAAAAACAAAGAACTCCTCGTTTTTATAAACATACCAATAAGGAGCCACATAAAAACTTATTGTTTTTACAAACTTACCAAACAAGGAGCCATCTGGGTTCCATATTATTCGATTAACTGATACAGCAGGATCCTTAACCAGAGATGCCTGAATAATGGAGCCGAACTCAGATCCATTGTGCAACACCAGAGGACCATTCAACAGTGTGTCGTATCAGAAAATAAAACCCAAACCTGAAGAGACATGGAGCAAGTTCCAAGCTCCCAAACTTTGAAGTTCTTATGAATTAATCTCTCCCTAGTGCCAACATCCCATAAAGCAATGTCTCCCACATTTGTACCAACTACAATATGACAACAACAAAAGAACAACCAGACTCAGCAAGTCATGAAAAGGAAATTACTTATAACTCAGAGGAGCACAAGAATGACAAAAAGCATACCGAGAAGAATAGTCCGTTGTAATGGATGAAAATCCATGCTCATGGGGTTCGAGCCCTGACTCAGCGTTCGTGCAACTGTTTTTGGCAAGTCCTCTATAGTGTATGTAGCCTGGTTATGATTCTGAGGATAAGAAACTGGCAGTATATTTACAGGCAGATTTACCTGAATTAAGTAGCCAACATTCAAACGAACATTAGGATTACCCAGCAAGTAACATAATTAAGCAGTGCATAAGTACACGTACGGAGCAGAGACATCCAGCATACCTCATCAGAAATTCCAATGGGTCTTGTTCTTTTTGATACATGGTCAGAATCTGCTGATGAATACTCTATAGAAGGGTTGGCTGTTGGAGGAGTCCTTGGATGCTTCAAAATTGCCACTACACAGAAAAAAAAAAAAAAAAAGTTCAAAAAACTGACATTCCACCATTAACTTGTGCTACCAGCTATCACAGAGTCCACCACACTACCAGGATTTGTAGGTGCATTGAGTCCAATAGCTGCACCAGAGACAACTGGATGGGTTACAGCTGAAGGATTAGACATCCAGCCAGCCAGGGGTGTAGGAACTGGTGCTGGCACTGGTTGAAAAGGCTGAAGAAGAATGATATGTTAAACATTTGAGAGTGATCTCATGATAAAAAAACAAGTAAATTAAGATTAGGTAAGTTACCGCATGAGTACCCAACGGTGGAAAACCTCCTGCTTTGGGCATGGATCCAAGTAGTGGATTGTTTGCCGGTGATGGAGCAAGAGCACCATTTGGTTGTCCGCATGAATGATCAACAAAAAGAGTTTTAATATCTGGATTTGGCCTAGGGTTTTTGCATAGCTGATGCTGCCAGTTTAAACTGTCATATCACATAATTATTAGTGAAACTGAGTACTTATCAACAAACTCCAAATAGTTAGAAAATTGAGATGACTCATCTGATTGTTCAAGATTAAATGGATTGAGATGCAAATTAAAAACAAGCTTCCAAATGCACCACGGCAGGTTTATGCCATCTGTGCAACTTTAAGTTGAGCATTCTTCCTAGTTCTTTCTATCTGCAACTGGATCTATATCCATGACATTGATGTCTTCCGATATATTCAGGAAATGACTGCACCATCTTGCTCTTTACCAAAGATCACTGTTTGCTAATGAAATATATGTACATATATAATAGTAACTTCCTCATGTTAATGATGTATTTTAGGCAAAATTCACTTGAGGAAGCTTATATCATCATCAAATAACTGGCAAGCATGGATTCGTCACCCCACCATCTGGTGCCAGGTACATCAGGCAATCTTCTATTGCCTCATTCAAACCCAAGTTATGTAGATAACCTCAGAGAAATTGCATTTACTGGCTTTCACTTCCAACAGTTGGCTTAACCGATTCATAAAAGGTACTATACAACATTTTTTATTTATTCTATATATGATGACAATAAAAAATCACAAGGTGAAGTTTATTGTGATTGTTTAAATACAAACCAAAAGATGATGTAAACACTACTGTTGTAGAAAAGGAATCTGAAGATCAGATATCAAGTGAACAGGGTTAGATGGTATTCTTTGTTTATAGCTGGAAAATATTTCCAAAAGGAAAAAAATGGAGTTTATTTTAGATATGCAATGTGCCAAATGTTCCTGAGTGCTTGTCCTTATAGGGCTTTTATGTAGGTGAAATAATTTTGAGCGGCTACCTCATGCTTGAAATAATAGATTACTTGCTGCTCTCTTCAGTAAAGAGAATGAAAATCCAAGTATCGCTAACAGCACATGGTGTAACCTCTTAGAGTCTTACCTTTGGTTAATTAGGGTACGTAGTCTAGAACTTTTTAGGTTTGGAAACTGTAATTTATCTCGGAATAGAGGGTTTGCTTCAATCAGCTTCTTGAGCTCAACAAGCATTATGGTCCGTGCTGATTTTGTATCCCCATACTTTGAGAGTTGCTCATTCTCCCTGAAAAGCTACTGTATTAGGCATCACAGAAGTAAACGATGAGGTAAACAATCGAGATAAAACATAAGTGATGAGAATATAAATGGTTGAACCTGAAATTCTCCAAAGTTAGAAGTTGTGTGATTTCCTTAAATAGCTCCTCATTAAATGAGGCAAAGACCTTCAAATCCTTGACAAGGATTTCAACTGCTTTTGCTCGGTCATGCCTAGGGAACAGAAACAAGGATCAATTTTATAATAAAAAAATTCTTCAAAAAAAAAATAACAATAAAATAATAAACTGAAGCGTACTTGTCCAATGCTTCAAGATACTTCTGCTTCCTTATTTCGAAAAATATCTTCATGGAGTACCGGTTGTCATCAACCTTGGTGAAGCCAGAGAGGTACCGCTCGACGTTATCCCAATTCCCGTTATGCACCTCATCCTCAAAATACTTCATATTGAAATAGAAGCCAGCCTCCTGCTCAAGCCTGCATCCAAACCCCACAAAAAGAGAAAAATCCCAAAAAGAAAAAGTCACGAGATAGCCACGAGAAAAACCCATCAATCAACCAAAAATCGAATTTTTAACGATGTCACCAACTTGTGAACTGTTTCTTTGAACTTCTCTTCATCGAGGAACTGCAGAATCAGAAACACCAGCTCTCTGCTGAGAGACGACATTGTCTTGCCCCTGACTCCACCTCAAAACCCTAATTCCTCAAATAAAAGAAATACAGAAGACAAAATAAGATAAATCTTCCCATCAACCACACGAACTTGAATAAAAAAAAATCAATTTTTGGAGAACAACTCATAACCAAATTTCGAAAATAATTGAAAAATGGAACCGTCGATGAATCCAAACTTGAACCAGAAGCAAAGAAGACCAAGAGACCAGCATTCGATTTGCCAAATTTTCTTCTATCGCTTCCGTCGAGACAACTAAGCTTGGCACCGGAATCAAGGACCGAAACGTTAGGGCTTGAACAGATCGACGAAGGAAGAACAGTACCAGGATCGGTAATCGAGGAAGAATAAGAAAAACAGGAGAAAAGAGGGCCAGAGTGGGAAGCGAAAATTCCAACGAAAAGGCGAGGGAGATCCGAGCTCACCTAAGAGCAGAAGAACGGGAAGACGGCGAGACGGATCGATCCGAGCGAGGCAAAGACCAGAGACGAGACGAGCGACCAGCAATTTCGATCGAAACCTACAGAAATCGGACTGTCAGAGGAGGATTCGGAGCCGAGAGCGGTTGGATTCATGGTAAAGGTGGGGATAAGGTCCGCAGCTTATCACTGTGATATATCCACTCGCTTATTAGAGATGCTCCGCGTCGGCCCTTATAACGCGTTGGCGTTTGGGGCCCGCTTTGATACAGCCGAAGTCTCGGACATCGCGAACGTAGCGGAATCTGCCGGCTTTTATTAGAGGGAACGAGGTGAAATCAATGTGATGGGATGATGGAGTCCGTACAGAACAATATGTTCGCGCCCAATGAGATAGTAACACGTAGGTCTGGAATCGCTGCAGAAGTCGAGTATGAACAAGGAATCACCACGGAGCCAAATGATAGCACGAAATTTGAGGATGATGATGATCACGAGGAGATCCACTTTCCGTCAGCTGGTGAGAAGATTTGGCAGGTATTTTGTGGATTTAGTATCTAATAAAAAACCCACCTATTTTTTTTTTATTTTCCTCTAGAAAATGATATATATATATATATATAAAGATAAATACCTCATATTTTTTATGACGATAAATGCATGTTGTCATTAAAAAAATCCTCCTTGTCAATCGTAAATTTTAAGCCATAAGCACTAATATTTATCATTAAAAATATAATTTATTGACAGGATTATCATAAAAAAAAATAGTGATATTTTTCGTTAATGATTAGTAGTCATTTTTCTTGGAGTGTGGTTGAAGAACCATACATGAAGTCAGTACGAGAAATCAAGAAATCTGTGACAAGTTAGATATCAAGTGACTGGAGGTTCATCCTCATGCAAAATCCTGTGAAGAGATGGAACAACTATAAGATCGTTATTATATTAGAATAGGAAAAATATAATTCTAAAAACGTTGTAAAGATTTTCTTAGCACTTCACCTAATGTAATACTATTTTTCCAGGTGAAAGTTGATATGATAACACCTAAAGAGGAGAGAGAGAGAGAGAGAGAGAAAGAAAGAGGGCTTGATCAAAACAATAGCACATAGTTCTTGAGGTGTTGGATGACATCCAGAGTTCCCCCAAACACTTCAGTGAGAACCAGCTCTCAAGTTTAAGCTCAAAGAGCCCTACTGAATTGTTTGAGGGACTCCAGAGGTAATCCAACTCTTGTTGCTCTTTTCATAAGCATGCTACGACCTATTTATAACCACTCCCTTTGTAAGAGCCGGTTATCCGATTGGTTGCTCCCGGAGCTGTGGGTGCATACGTTTCTTCGTTCACTGAACCTAGACACTTGAGGTCTCATGATCGATAAGGAGGGAGGAAGAGAACCTTCAGGGGTGTGACCACAAAACCACCTCCGGCTCCCTATGTCCTTCGTGTCATAGCACCCCAGAGATGCCATGCGACTCCACCATTTCACGAGCATAGATAAGCTTCGATGCTCTTAGGCATGAAGGTCGACGGGAAGACTTGTGCAAGCTAGATTGTCAACGCATCGTTTCTGCTGTATTAGATACATCCATCTGTAAAAGAATATGCATCACCGCAAGTTGAGGAGAGATAGGATATCTGGATGGTCGGGGATGTATCCAACGATACCCCCGAGCCCTTTTTGAAGGGATTGAAATCCACAGGAAGCTTTTAACACCGAGAGATAAGGCCAACCGACAAAGCATATGGATTCCCGTCCAGGTTCATCGTCTGTATGTAGCTTCGTCAAACATCCTCCCAAAGCTCATAGCCATCTCGCTTCATATAGAACTGGTCTTTGGGGCAGCTAATTGGGATGGATGAAGTGTTTGAGGAAGTCCAGCTAATTGGGATGGGCAGGTCGAGGTGCTTGTGAAGTTGCAAGACTCTTTCTCAGAGAATTCTTGTCCTGATGAAAGCATTTAACTACTACTTCAATAAATAAAATGATGATAGATAGTGGAGAGTTGTAATAACACAAAGGAAGCTTCATGATGCATATATAACCAGTTGATCTAGAATGGAGCAGAAATGACAATCTTTCGATGCCATTAGAGTCAGTCGATGAGCCATCGCATTCTTCAGCTTCTTCTGAAACTACTGCAACCTCATTTCCCACTTGCGATTCTGTAGTCTCCAACTTGTTATCCTATTTGCCATGAAACTTGTCAGAATACAATTGTGCAACCTTCCTCTTGCTATTTCCTTGGATGTATACACTGGAAAAAGGGACACTTGTGCAACAAATAGATGATTCGATTACCTCCGACAAAGACATTGGAACTTCCCTGGAGCTTGGATTTTTGAGAATTTGCAAAGCTGTCTCCTATACCAACTTTAAATAGTACAACAATTAGAAACATATAGCCAATTTAGATAGAGGATTGAACGAAATATTTGATTCTCTCATGTAAAAGAAGAATTAACGAGGACGGGTAGGAGGAGACGCATTCATCTACTACGTAGAAACTGTGCGTGAATCTTCCGAAAGCATCGTTGTCCCAGATAGAAATGTCGCCTAATAGAGACGCGGCGATCACTGTTCCCCCACATGGATAAGGACGTCCTTTGGTGTGCAGGAAGGAACACAATGCAACAGCCTCACCATTTCTCTCCTAATGCTTCCATCGGATACATATGGAATGCTCGTCCTCTCCTTACCATCTCTCTTTCTCTCTTGAAGAGGAAGGAGCCGATGGTGTCCCTCTCCATGACTATACTACCTATGGTCGTACGCTCCATTGTTCTTTATTGAGATTCTTGATGATACATCTTCGGATGTCCACACGATTAATGTTAAATGATGGCTTACTTAATTGTACTCGAGGAAAAAAAACCAAGGCCTCCGACTCCGCATGCTCAATTCCTTGCTTGGTCCAAGAAGGACTGCCCTACTGTGTGCTAGCGAGGCCGCCGTCTCTGCAGAAAGAAACCACGAGGAACTTAGTTGCTTAGCAACAACAGAAGATTCATCAATCAGGAACAAGTTTCGTGACGGGAAGAGAGATTAAGAATCATTTTCTATTGCAGGTTTACTGAACCAGAGATTGGTAGAAAGCATGAGGGAATTCATAGCATTAATGCAAGGCTGTGATGTCGAAGGTTGCCTTCTTTTTCTTTCTCCCTTGTCAGCATTTTTTGTCAGCACAACATTTAACTCCAAACTACAGAAAACGATCTCTCAGAACACTTCTTTTTTTCTTTCTCTCTTTCGAAAAGAAAACTAAACTTTACAAAGTGTAACGAGAAAATACACCGCCCTTCGCATCTCCAAGAACCAAAAAATTACATGATTCGATTGTACGTGCATCTACACTGTTTTCCTGCCTCAAAACATGGAAGAATTTGCATTCAACAAAGCAAGGAGTCAATCATTTAATGTTCCCGACCAAAGTCAGAATAGTCCATGGCGGAGTAATATCTCACAGTTACCTTTCTCCTAATTCCTCGACTTCACATTTACTTGCTCTTCAACCTTGTTTTGTCACCAAACTCACAACCAAGTTGTTGTTGTTGTTGTTGTTCTTTTCTCTCTTCTTTTTCTTTTCTGTTCTTGGCTTGTAAACAAACCATCAGGCAACCGAATTTGTATTCGAAAGCGAGCACATTTATTTTCTTCGATCAAGAATGAAGCTTCATTTACAATAATGATGATGGTTCGGCAAACGACCATGAATGACACTCGCTAAAACCTAGTGTGCTGCAACTTTAGTCCGGTGAGAGGTGACACACAGATACACTCACGGAAGATGTATCACATTTCCAATTCTAACTGGCAGCTTTCTTTTCGATGATGATCCCTGTCATCGTGAAGAAAGCATGTAAGGATGGCCTACTGATGGAAATTGTGTTGCTCTGACCACGCCCAGAAGGCAGATTGATCATCTGTGCTGTAGAACATGTTACAGAGGTTGTCTCTCTGGACGCTGCTCTCCACCTTGGGTGTTTCTGACTTGGAGGAGCTATGAAGAAGCTGGGAAGCACTCGGGAAGAAGGTTCTGCTCTGCTGGTGGAGATCCGACGGGTTATGGTTCATTGGTTCCCTTGAGATCTCCAGACTGATGTCAGGGCTGTTCTCGCTCCTCATGCTGCAGGAGCCCTCTGTTTCCTTGTTGAGATTGATGGACTCGGAGACATCTTTGCCTTTGAGACTCAAAATCTGCGATGCGTATTCATCCACAGAATGACAAGTGCTCCAAGGCAATTCATGACAATTCAATCAAATCTCCCTACAGGAGAGAGTGGAGTACCTGAGAAAGAAGCTCCTTGTTGTGGGCGTGCAGGGCATCATTCTGTGCCTTCATCATCTCAAACTGTCTCTTGAGTTCATCGTAGTCCTTCTCCAACTGCTTGATCTTCCACCTCGCTCTCCTGTTCTGGAACCATATAGCTATCTGCCTCGGTTGCAGCCCGAGAGATCTGGCTAGTTCCATCTTCCTCTCTGGCTCCAGCTTTTTCCCCATCACGAAGCTCTTCTCCAACGTCCTGACCTGCTCCAAGTTGAGCCTCTTCTTCTTCTCCCCCGGTGGCTGCAGTCCGTCGTCGGAAATATCATCCTCCAGGTTCAGCTCCTCGCAGGTCTCCATCCCCGAGAAGGACGTGGATCTTCTCCCTGCATCCATGCATTCGTTTGACGAAAGCCTCAGTGCCAGATCTTGAAAACAGTGATCTCACCTCTCAAGTCCTGTGGATAGGTGGGTAGCATTAGTGGATTCGTGGAGTTGTGGGGTGCGTGGTGGCTCTCCTCGTAAGGAATCCGTGACAACAAGCTTGCAGAGAAGAATGGCGGCATTCCATTGTGAGACATTGCAGGTCACAGACACGAAAAGTCCTGGTGGATGCTTGTTGTTGTCCTGGTGAAAGGGAAAGGTATGAGCCTCTGTTTTTCTGAGATAAAAGTGGGAGAGAGATTGGAATGAAGGGCATAGGAGCGAGGGACATGTATCATTGGATCTCGCAGAAGAGAGAAGGAAAACATGCATGCCGGTGGTAGTGAGAGAAGGTGGAAGGACGAACCGGTGGACTACATGCAAAGAAGATACGCGTGCTCTTAATGAGGACAAGATGTAGAGTCCAAGTTACAGCTAGAGAGATGCAGAGAACCAGAGGTTGGTGTTCTGCTACTGGAGAAGTAGATGGCATCGGTAGGCTGCACGCACTTCAAGAATCCGAGGGCCGCCCGTGCGGTGCATGTGCGTGCTGACCCTTTCATCTTCTCATCTTCATGTCCCATGCGACGTGCTTTTAACGGTGGATGAGAACGAGATCAACAGTCTCAGCATCATCTGAGAGTAAAGAACGCTCCAAAAGGGGGTCGGGAGATCTTTGTATAGAGAGACGAGAGAGAGAACAAAAAGTGGCCCAGTCGATTGTGGCTTTTATATCTCAATTTGCGATCAAAAGTAATGGACGATTTTTCTGAAATGGTTTTTTTTTTTAGATTTTTATTGAAAAGTATATATCCTCATTTTTAATTTACTTATTTGATACTCAATTTTCTCTAATACTTTAAATATCTTTCGTCGCTGTCACCTTCTTCTTTTTCTTTTTTTCCGTTATAATGGTGGTGCGATCATGACAATGAGTTCTCGTGGTCCAACGAAAATGATCACGATGGGATAAAAATGATAAAATCAAAGTAGAGAGGCAGAAGTAGTCTAATGAAGGTAATAACGTATAAGCATTAAGGCCTCGTAGAGGGGACAGAGGCACTAGGGTCAAAGGTAGTCATAATAGAATGGAATTAACATGGGCTTACAAAGGAGAAGAAGATAGTCACGATGGGACGAAAACAATGAGACGGAGGTGGCAAGGTGTCGTTGTAGGGTGAAGGTGATGGAAAAGGAGCGACATACCTCGTGGAGGGGAAAGAGGTGAACACGATGAGATGGAAGCGATAAGATCTCACGGAGAGGAAGGAAACAATTATAACCGGAGAAAAGACGATGGGCGGAAGGTGACCACTACGGGGGCGAAAAGCAATGATCGACAATAATCATTCGAAGGAGGAGATGTGGTTGAGGACTATTTAGGATATTAGAGAAAACGTAAATAGAAAACTGACACCTTTCGAAAAATCTAAAAAGAAGATTTTTTTTTTTTAAATCTTCCAAAGATAAATAATAAGCATCCAAAGTACAAAAGATAGACATTTTCGTCGTGAAGTACTTAGAACTTTTAACTTGAAGTAATTAAGCATAACATATTTCTTGGATGCGTCTGACTTACGAAAGGCAAAAAGTCTCCGTCATCCACTAGGAACTATCCGCCTTGGTTCGAGCTCCAAGTAGATGCAGGTCAATCGTTGACTCGAGTCGTAATGTCGACCAGATTCTTCATGTGTCGAAGTGAGTCAAGCTAGACTTTGTGGCTATCTGCCACATCCATCCATGGATGCTTTGGTCCTTCCTCATATCTTCCATTTTCACTATTTGTTTTGATGTTCTTCTTTATGTACGTGTAAATGTTTCAATCCTCGTCTATATATATATATATATATATA